AAGTCATAGCCTGAACCCTCTGTTGAACTGGACCTCCCGGGCAATGGTACACTCTCTCCACATATGCCCAAACTCCATACACTTGAAGCAACTCCCCGCTGGTGGTGGTGGGGACTGAATCGGTCCCCGAGTGCCAGAGTAACTGCTAGAAGGACTTGGCACAGATGAACCCTAAACCGATGGAGCACGGGACGAACTCTGAACTAAGAGGGCATTGAGAGATGATTGACCCGGACAACCACTGTACGAACCATGGCTAGCAAATGCACCACGATAAACTGGATGAGCCATCTGAGCGGGCCTATAAGGACGACCCATGTTGTGGTGGAACTGACTCCCAGAGGGAACACTACTGAAACCACCTGAACCACGAGGCCTCTTAGACTCCCTCTCCTCACACTCCTGACTACAGATCATCTCTAGCTGCCGAGCAATATCAACCACCTCGTTCAACCTATCACCCGATACACTCTCCCGAGTCATAACAAAATGCAACTGATAGTGGAGGCCATCAATGAACCTTCTAATCTTCTCCCTCTCAGCGGGAACCAACCAAACTACGTGACGAGCCAACTCTGAAAATCTCATCTTATACTGGGTCACAGACATGCCCTCCTGACGTAGCTGCTCGAACTGCTTGCGCAGCTCCTCCATGCGGGTCTGTGGAACAAACTTCTCCAAGAAGAGAACGGAGAACTCATGCCATGAAAGTGGTGCACCACCGACTGACATGCCCCTCTTATAGGCCTCCCATCATCTGAACGCAACCCTTGATAGCTGAAAAATAGTAAAGGAGACTCCACTAGTCACCAAAATACTCGTTATGCGAAGAATCCGCTGGCACCTATCCAAGAAGTCCTGGGCATCCTCTGATTCAGCCCCACTGAATGATGGAGTCATGAGCCTCCCAAATCTCTCTAGCCTTTTCTGCTCCTCATCAGTCATAATGGGACCCACCTGGGCCTGAACAACTACAACCGACTAGGCTGGTAGTACCCCTGGTATCTGAAGTCCCTGCACCACCTGCTCTAGAGTACGGGCGGCGGGAGTCTGAGTACCTCCCTCGGCCTGAGAGGTGGCTGGTGCGGTCTGAATAGGAACCGCCTGAGCAAGACTACTGCAAATGGTCAATATCTGATCCAAAGCCTCTTAAAGGCCTGGAATCACAATGGGCACAGCTGGTGCCTGAGCTAGCCCAACTGGATCAACCACATCTGGAACCTACTCCTGAGCTGGAGCAACTGGTGGATCTGCTGGTGCGCTCTAGCTGCTATACGAGCTGCACCTCGGCCCCTACCGCGGCCAAGGCCTCTCGTGGCCCTAGCTTGTGGTACTGGTGGTTGTCCGCCCGATAACACGTGTCCTCACCATCTGTGAGAGAATAGAATAACAGAAGTATAGTTCCGAGAATCAACAAATTTGTACGACAAGAATGCAAGAAAGTGAAGGTTTCCTAAGGGTTAGACAGTCTCTTGAAGATATGTACAGAAGTCTCCGTACCGATCCGCAATACTCTTCAAAACCTGCTCATGACTCGTTAGACCTATGTAAACTAGGCTCTGATACCAACTTGTCACGATCCAAAACTCGACTTGTCGTGAGGCCTATCATGATACTAGGCAAATCGACAACCCATACATTCCAACTCTTTCAAATTCAACATATACTAAAGCAGATTTAAATAAGTGAGAATTTCATAAAAACTGGATGAAAATGTCACAACTCAATACAGAAATTTCCTAATACCCGGGTGTCACTGAGTACATGAGGATCTGTACAAATACAAAGTCTGATACACCATCTAAGAAAAACATAAATTGAATAAGTAAACTGAGGGATAGGGAAGGAGAGTCAATGTCTGCGGACGCCAGGGCAGCTGCCTCGATAATCTCCGAACGGCTGAAAACTCTAAGATCAACAACCACAGTGCCCAGAAACACCTGGATCTGCACATGAAGTGCAGGGTGTAGCGTGAGTACAATCAACTCAATAAGTAACAAGTCTAGCCTTTGGGTTGAAAGCAGTGACGAGCCTCACAGGTACAGTCCAATTACAGAAATACAGTAAGAAATATAGACATGCTTCCAAATTTAATGGATAAAGTCTAAACAGGTAAGATATGTCAAGTACAACTGAGATAAGAAATGATACATCTTGATATCTACATGTCAATTATGTATGCCAACTGAAGTACAAAACAATGATGAAATCATATGTATACTCTTAGAGTATCAATCACTCAGTCCTCCCATTCACTCCATCCTCACAGTCACTCATTCCTCACAGTCACTCCATCCTCACAGTTGCTCAATCCTCTCAATCACTCGGCACTCGCACTCGGTAGGTATCTGCACTCACTGTGAGTGTGCAGACTCCGGAGTCGCAGATCCAGCTCAAGCTCTATAATAAGTTAATCATGGCATGAATCAATAAAGCGTGTTGAGGCGTGCAGCCCGATCCCATAAATATCCTCACAATTAGGCCCTCGGCCTTACTCAGTCATCAATCTCTCTAGTCGTTCGGGCTCACAAGAATCATGATAACCAGCCCAAACAATGATGATATGATGTATCAATAAATGGCAACAAAGACTGAGATATGATATGCAAATAATAGTTGTGGCTGAGTATATAATTGCAAATTTAGCAAATGATTCAACCTGCAACACAACCTCTGTGGGTCCCAACAGTACCAGCATGTAGCATAAGCATGATTTCTAACATGACTCGCAGCTCAATTTCTCTAACACATGGAGAATACACGAATAACAACAATATTATTCTACTGTACAGTAGAATCGACAAAGTCACAATTCCTACGGTGCATGCTCACACGCCCGCCACCTAACATGTGCTCCACCTCAACACCAATCACATAACACGTGATTCGGGGTTTCATACCCATAGAACCAAGGTTAGAAGTATTACTTACCACAAGTCGCGCAAATTTCTACTCCAACAAGCCCTTGCCTCGCGAATTGGCCTCTGAATGCCTCGAATCTAGCTACAAACAATTCGATACAATCAACACGAGCTATAGGAATCAATTCCATATGAAAATGCTAAGTTCTAGTCAAAAAGTTAACTCAAAAGTCAACCTCCTAGGCCCACGTCTCAGAATTCGATAAAGTTACAAAATTCGGAAGCCCATTCAACCACGAGTCCAACCATACCAAATTTATCAAATTCTGACAATAAATCGTCACTCAAATCCCCAAATTTATCTCTCCAAATCCCTAGGCTCAAACTCCCAAAATTTCACCTCAAAAATATACAAACTAGGTGGGAAATTCAATGGGGAAACAATAATATTTAATAAAAATAATCACAAGTGATTTACCTCAAGAAAACCCTCAAAATCCCTCTCAAAAATTGCCTTTGTCCGAGCTTGATATGTCCAAAATGATCGAAAATCGCGAAACCCTCGATTAAATATTCTATCTAGTGCTTTTGCACCTGCGCTCAACTTAACCGCACCTGCGGTTCCGCTTTTGCGGATTTTCGATCACTTCTGCGATCCAAAGAATCCAGTCCACTTCCGCATCTGCGATCGCCCATGCACAGATGCACACGCATCTGCGGATAACATTCCACATCTGCGCCCCCAGGCTCCCTTTCCAGACCTCGCACCTGCGACCCCTCTCCGCATCTGCGACCACGCAAGTGCGGACAAACCCTCGCACCTGCGACCTCAACTAAACATACCAACAAGTCCTAAAACACGATATGAACTTAGTCGAGGCCTCAAATCACATCAAACCACATCAAAGACACGAATCGCACCTCAATTCAAGCCTAACGAAAATGAAGAAATTCCAACTTCTACAATCGATGTCGAAACCTATCAAATCAAGTCCGATTGACCTCGAATTTTACACACAAGTCATAAATGAACCAACGGACCTACTCCAACTCCCGGAACCAAAATCCGAACCCGATAACCACAAAGTCAACTCTCGGTCAAATTTCTCAATTTTCAAAACTTCTAATTTTCCATCTTTCACCATTTTAAGCCTAAATCAACTACGGACCTCAAAATCACTATCCGTATACACTCCTACGTCCAAAATCACCCAACGGAGCTATCGGAACCATCAAAACTCCATTCCGGAGTCATTTACACATAAGTCAATATCCTGTCAAAATTTTCAACTTAAGCTTCCAACCGTGAGACTAAGAGCTCGTTTGGACATAAGAAATTTTTCCCTTTTTTCAAAATAATTTTTACTTTTCTTCGAAATCAGCGTTTGTTCATAAAATTTCCAATTTTCACTTGAAGATCCATTTTGGAAATTTTCGAAAATTTGAAAAGCTCCAAAAAGCTGTTTTTCAAAATTTTCACTCAAATCACTCACAAAACTTCAAAAACAACCCAAAATTATATTCATATCGAAACACAACTCTAAATTTCAAATACCATTTTCACTTAAAAAATTTAACCACCCTATTTTGAAATTTTAATTCTTGGGTCCAAACGCCCACTAAGTGTCTCAACTCATTCCGGAACCGAACCAACTACCCCAGCAAGTCTCATAATGACAATTGAGCATAAAATCACTCCAAACGACCGGCCTGGTTGTTACAAGGACGCCGGTTTTTCCCATAATTTTCTTGAATTTTGAACCCCATTATACCTTGGTGCCTCGTCTGCTCTCCTCAAATCCAGCCATCTCTGAACTCTAAATTAATCATTCAAATTAAGAACAAAAGCTCGTTAAATGATAAAGCCAGCCAAATAGTTAGTATGGACAACATTTGAAGTTGAAGTTGCAAAAAAAAAAAATATCTGCAAGTTGAGTAAAGTTCCTGCACGTCTCTCCGACCGTAATGGTTGAACTTAGACTCTGCTCTTTGAAGGCTATTTTTGTGATGATCATGGGATTTATAAGAGTATATACAGTAACATGAAGCTATTCAGATACACCTAATCTACTATAACCAATGATCAACATAACTTCATGGAAACAGGAGATAGATTTGGTTATTTTGTAAAACCAAAGGTAGAATTTAAGAATTACTACATTTCAAACGAGAAACATATGTTGTAACTCAGCGAGGCAGAATCAATTGAACATGATACAAGATAGAACAAAATAAGTTTGTCAAACAGTTTCTAACCAACATATACAATTTATAAACACAACATACAACAATGTATTCACAGCTCAATGAAGCATAAAATTTTCAGAGACACCAAAAGAAAAATCTATATATGAATAAGGATATACTAGAACCTCCTTAAAGTGCGTTAACCTTCAACAGTGACTTGAGCTGTAATAACAACAGTGTTTGACGGTTGAACTGCATTTTCGTCTGCTGGATTCATCTCGCACTTTTCATCAGCTGGTTTATCATGCATGTCTTGTGGATTCTCTTCACAAATATTCTCATCCAAGTTCTTGACTTCAGCAGGTTTTGATTTTGTTCCAACAGCTTTCGCTTTAGTTTTACCAGTTGAGGAACTTTTCATCGGCTTCTTGGTTTCAATAGGCTTCCCTTTTGAAGCACCAGTAACTTTATCACTAGTTGACAGCAAGGTCGTGGGTGACTTCACCTGTTCTTTGACAACTCTTGGACTGAAACACGATCCACTTTCAGAGCTGTTGGTTGTCGATGCGGAGTTCTTATTTCTTCCAAGCTTAGGAGATACAGCACGTGTTGTTGGTATCTGTATGATCCAGAAAATTATCACGTGTGCTACTTTTATAAATTCAAGTTAACAGAAGAGAATAACATGATGAGTCATGAAATCTTAAAATATAACCTGGAAGCTAATATAGTAGAGCCTTAAACTCTCTTGGCATATACTTAGTAACTAAAGCATTCTATTGCAGGACAAGCACTAGTAAAATGTGGAAAGGGAAAAGGAATACGCCATATCGTTAGGTGAACACAGTACCCTTATAGGGATCTCTTGAATGACTTTGAAAGAGAACCAGCGTTGGTCATTCAAATGGAGTATCACAATCAAAGGGCGACCTGACATAACAAAAGTATACTAGCCTTTTGTAAATACTTAAGTAATACCTTCTTAAAGCCATCTTTATGATTGGAAACATAAACGAGCACAATTATACCTCAAACTATGTCAGATTTGAAGAAATATTGATATGCTTCTTTGTTAGATAAAATAAGATTTATACAGCAGTTTTCAGGTATTGCAGGTAATGCATTACTACTTATTCATTGATGGCTGTCAAAGTCCAATACTATCTACAATTGTCATTTTCAAGGAAAAAAAAATCCATCAGTATGGACCTATTTGGTTTTGATAAGAAGAAACAATCCCAATCCGACACATTTGAGTTTTGAACATTATCTCTAAAAGTACAAGTATCTCATGCTAACGAGCAACCATGTTTACAAGCTTTGAACTTAAAAGGAATATGTCACCTTTTTCATCCTTCTAGCATAAAAGAAAAAAGTATTTTAAGAGGAGCATTTATTAAAAGAACTTCAGGCAGTGCCATGCCAGTGAAGTATTTTCCGAGTCCTTCAATTCCATCATAAGCACGCATAAAAATTGCACCGTATCCCATTAGTTGGCAGCACATTTATTTTCTTAGAGGGGGAAGGGGAGGTTCCTATTTCGAAGCCCTGCTCTATCACCAGGTTCCCATTCATGAACATGAGATCTTTCCCTCAAGCATCCATTAAGATAATGTAGATGCACAAAAATATAGGAAGAGCTGCAACTCAGCGCCAAAATCAGGGAGGAAAAAGAGCAAAGCAATTGAGATACGTAATTGGGAACTTGAACATGTAGGTATCTAGTTCACTTCAGCAGTTATGCTGAAAAAATTCCTATCCATGGGCCTTTACTGCATCTAGTGCTCCCAATGCTCCAACCTGTGGGGCAGAGAGGTAGATCCCCAGGATGGTCAATGTCTATTCCATCATTGTGAGGGCGTTCTGTCGGGAGCAGAGGGGGTGGATCCCCAAGATGGCCGATGTCTACGCCATCAATATGAACTATTATCTTGAAAGGATTTCTAAAGTTAAAAAAGCTCTACTCACAATTACATCTTGTTAATTTCTGAAGTTAAGAAAAACTTTAACATGTCAAGTCAATCTGAAGATGAAGTTTTTTCAGGTTAGAGGATGTCAAAACCAACACATTGGTGTGTTTTCTGAAAGTTAGGAACCAGTATGTCAACAAAGAACACTCCTGTTCTCTTTTCAAATCTAAAAAAAATGAAATGAGGAAGGTGATCTAAGATCAACATTTTACCTTCCTTAGCTCAACTTTTGGAGGGGGTTCCCTGTAAAAGCTTGGCATTGGTGTAGCTTTAAATGTCAGGCTCTTCCTCAATTGCTTTATCTCCGCCTCTTGGTTTTCCTGTATTCAAAACCCAAATTCAAATTTTTTTTTAAAAAAAAATTCTTGGGAGAGACCAGATCTTAAATAATTAACCAGAAAAAGTAATATGTTTTGAACCAACCTTGGATTTTGCTTGCATGTTATTCTTTTCCTCTTCCTTTGCCTGTATCTTCTCTTCTATCTTTGCCAAGAACTAACGAAGAAAGAAACCTTGTACTTAGACTTTGCATAAACATCACATTCCCTCATTAAAGAAGAAACAAGTGCGGGCTACAAACCTCCTTCCGCTTTTCGGCGCGTTCTTCCAACCTGAAGGAAAATCCAGCAATACTAGCCCTTCGTTGTCCACGAGGAGTGGTACTTCTGGTAACAGCAGAAATAAAAGTAGATTTAATTGGCCTAGAACATTAAAGATCAATCCTTCAAGCACACACTACTTTCACACAACCAATTTCACCATTTACAGAGCACTTGTCACACAACTCACTCACATATTGATTTCTCCGATGAAACCACAAATGATTACCAACATGACACCTTTATTCCTTTAACATCTTCTGATAAAACTCGCATATATTCTCCATGGAAATCTTCTATGATAGTCAAAGTATTTGGTCGAAAAATCGGGCATCAAACACTATGCACCAAATTACGTTCCCTATGGCAACCTACAGAAGACTTACCACTAATTGATCTGGGCTCAGACTTCTTTCTCATAAAATTCCAAAAGGAAGAGAATATGAATAAAGCACTCCATGAAGAACCTTGGTTTATATTTAATCATTTCCTATCAGTACGTAAATGGGAACTTAAATTCATTTCCTCCAATACACAACTTACTTACTCGACAATTTGGATACGATTACCTGAGTTATCCACTGAGTTCTACGACTTTGACATCCTACNTCCTTTGCCTGTATCTTCTCTTCTATCTTTGCCAAGAACTAACGAAGAAAGAAACCTTGTACTTAGACTTTGCATAAACATCACATTCCCTCATTAAAGAAGAAACAAGTGCGGGCTACAAACCTCCTTCCGCTTTTCGGCGCGTTCTTCCAACCTGAAGGAAAATCCAGCAATACTAGCCCTTCGTTGTCCACGAGGAGTGGTACTTCTGGTAACAGCAGAAATAAAAGTAGATTTAATTGGCCTAGAACATTAAAGATGATGAGCAAACCAATGGAACAACAGAATGACAACAGTGTAAGACAAAATCAGTACGAGGAAGTGGTAGAACGAGCATCCTCATCCTCTTTAAGAGGCAGCACTGCAGCTTTAGTAGGTTTTTTGTTTTCGTCATTCGATCTGCAATAGGAAAAATAAGTTAACTAAAGAAAGTTCTTCGGCAAAATGAAACATCATATAACATAAAAATTTCAATGCTAAAGGCAACAAGTGTAGACCAAAAAAACTTCATAAAAATGCAAGCAACAAATTCACTTACACATCAGATGTAGCTTTCTTTGCACTTCCACTGGCCAGAAGAGATTTCCCAGACTGATAGACAAAAACAGGTTAGAGAGACAGTGAGATAAAGCATCCATTAAACAAGGCAAAGGCAAAATATTATGAGGGCCAATACCATAGACTGACGGAGACTGGGGACGGCTGCAATAGTTGTCCTTCTGATGGTTGCAACACCTCCATTTGCGTTTGCATTCTTCAATACTCCGGCTGATACACCCTTTGGATTCAAACTAGAAGCTGATGATCCCTTAGAAAGTGAAGTCTCATTTTTAACCCCCTTTGTTTTCAATTCCTTGGCATCCGATTTCTTTGGATAGACATCAATGCTCTTCCTCATTACTTCGGAACTAACACCTCTTGCCGGGAACGATAGACTTAGTGATATACTTGCCTTTTTCGATCGAGTCAATGCAGCTGTTCCTCTTAAACTAGCCTGATCCTTAGCCATTTTATTGTTCTTTGTAGTTCCACCAGTAGCAAGCTTTCTTTGACTTGATGTTTTGCTCTTTGGAACATTCCCAGACACTTCAGTTTTGAGATTAGGTGTTTCATCAGCCTTCTCCTCATTTGCATTGGGTTTTTCACCCACATTCTCCTCCTCCTTCACATCCACATTCTTTTCAGCCACAACAATCTTCTCCTCTTCAACTGGAACCCCATTTTCAGACTCCATTTATCTAAATTATCTAAAGTAACACAAAGATAAAATGCACAAGAATCTGGAATTTTAGGTTGAATCAACAAAGGGAAGACAAAGACAAACTACACAAGCCTAAATCCAATTTAACCAGCAAAAAACTTCCATACTGAAAAAATCTTCCCAAACAAGTCACTTTCTTCCAAAAAAATCTTCAAATAAAACGACAAAACACATAAATGTGAGGAAAAAGAAAGACGACCCATATGACAATTTTCAATTCTTGTTCTCAGAATTTGAACCATCAAGACTCTTTACACTGACAATCAACAAACAATTGAAGAACAACCAAACAGGGCATAAAAGGAAACCAAAAATGAATACCAACGTCGTAAAATCCCATAAAAGTAAGAAAAAGACAAAGATCCAACAGAATTCAATAGAGTAACAAAGAGTGAAAGGCTAGAGTCTTGAAAACCAACATAAACAAAGGAATATGATGAGAGGAAGGAGTGAACAGTACCTTTTGTCTGATTGGTGACGAATTGTGCTTCTTGAATAGTACAAACAATTATGATTTGAGAATTCAAATGCTACTTTGGAATGAAAAGTTGGTTAGAATTTAGAAATATTAGAAACAGAGGACACAGAGACACAGTAGACGGTGGTGTCCAGTGGAAGTTAAAAAGGTATAGGCAAGTTCTTTTTTCTTTTTCCTTTTTTTTTCTCCAAAGGGGATGGAATTATGGATCGATTCAATTGGTAAAGGGAGAAATTCAAAAATAGCCAGATTTACCACTGGTCGTTGAAAAATAGCCAAATTTCAAAAGTCATCGAAATTTAGCCACTTTAAATCTGAGCGAAAATACTGTTCAAAATCCGGAAAAATACGCCCGCAAATTTTACGGGAGTTCCAGCAAGTATAATTGTCCAGTATAATATACTGGAGTTTGGAGCACTGGTGCTCCAGTCTCCCGCAAATTTTACAGGAGTTAGCAAAGTATACCGGTCCAGCATAATATGCTGGAGTTCGTACACAAATGCACCAGAACTCCCGTATATTATACTGGACCGATCCCTGTTGCAGCAAAATAGTGGCTATTTTTCATTGACTTGATAAACGCTGGCTATTTTTCATTGACCAGTGTGAAAACTGGCTATACCATGATATTTTAACATTGGTAAATCTTAGTACGACTAAAATGACCTCTCTTTTTTGTGCGGGTTTGCGTCTCTTAATACCATCTCCAACCCTAACATCAAATTTCACACCAAAATAATATAACACCAAATTTACTCCAACCATTACACCATTTTTTACATCAAAAAAAAAATATTTCTTCTATCTCTTCTATATTATATTATTATCTTCTATTTAAATTTTATTTTTTATTTCCTTCAAACAAATACTATCTTTTTTCTTTTTTCCATATTCATTATATATAATTCACATTCACCACTTATATAATCATTTATTACAAAACTATTTTAAAGGATAAATCAATTAAAAGTGAAATCATTGATAAAAGATAATTAAAATAAATATTACATCATGATCAAATTTAATTTAAGTACCACATAAATATTCAACTTTCGCCTCTATTCTCCCATAAATGCTCGATTAATGCATTACGAAGTGTGAAATGCGCATCTTTATCCTTAATTTTTTTGTGTCGAGCTAAAAATTGTTCAAATCGGTGGTCTTTATCTACTACCATTTCTACTGTAGGAGCTGGACATTCACGTGCATCTTCAATTGGTGCATTGTTAATTTTTATGTATTGTTAATTTTCTTTTTTAAATTTTAGTTTTCACTTTTCAATTTTAGCAACATTAGATATCTTACATTTGTATTTTTTATTTCTTTTTATACAATTATAATAATAATAAAATTAACTTATAATTTTATATAAATATAATATATACAAAAATTAATATATCAAAAAAATAGGATATAAAATTAAAATTATAAATAATATAAAAATTAATTATATACACATATGATAAATTAAAAGTCCAAAAAATAAAAAGATGAATAAAATAATAATAAATTAAATTTGGTGTGATGAATAGTGTTGCACCAAATGTGGTGCAACACTATTCATGCACTATAAAGGTGCAAGATTTGGTGTTCCATTGGAGCAAAAAAATACCAAATTTTACACCAAATTTGGATTTGGTGCAAAATTTGGTGCAGCCTTGGAGATGGCCTAAGAGCATAAGGGACCATTTTGTCATTTTGTTTTCCTATGCACACATATTAAGTATGTTGTAGTTCTGTGCCTCTGTTTTTGTGCATAATTGTTTGTACTTATCTTAGACGTCACCGACTTGGCCCAACGACGGACACTTGTCGACGGGTTTCTTGAGGGCTAAGGTCGGATAAAAAAAAAACAATCTAGAAAATGTAGGAGACTCTTCCTGATGACGGACCACTTAGACAGTATTCTTGAGGGAAGTAGTCTAATAAAAAATAAAGCCAAAAAGATTTTTTTTATTTTATTTTCTTTTTAGGTAGTGTTGTAATTCCCCCTTTATTTTTCTTTTGACCACAGTTCTTTTCCAAGGGCTTTTCTTGAACCGGGTTAAGTAGATTTTTCTTTAATATTTTTTAGGGCCCTTAGGACTCTCTTGGGCTAATATGGGTGAGGGCAAGAATGCATCCCGTAGTGTACATACCTGCAAATAACTAAAACGAACTTGAGGGTGCGACGTCTAGGCTCACTTGTAGACTCTTAATCTTATGCCTTAATTTTGCACACCTTGTCTTACTTGAACGCTCACGTGAGTGTGTTGACAAACTAATTCGGAATGAGTTACATGCCAAGTGTGTGTGAGGTAATACATGTATTCTGTGCTTGCATGCGATACCTAGAACTTGCCCTGTGTGTATGCAAAGCGAAATAGAAGTTGTTTGGTCTTAGAGATGATTTAGGCATTTCTTTGTGTAGCCTATATAATTATGAATCTACCTGTACATATTACCATAGTTAACCCCTTCGAGCCTGAAGCCTGTTTCTTTGATAACCTTACAATAACCTACATCCCTGTGTTTGAATAGCTTGACTTTTTGAACCTTTACCTCCTAGAAGCACTTGAATCGTTAAAGATCATATAAAAGTCAAAGTGTGAGGTGGTAATGGAGTGGGAAAAGGAAAATCAGGAAAATACTTGAATGGTGCAATGGTTCTTAAAAAAAAATTGAATAATAGAAGAAGGACCTTGTAAATAGGTGGTCCTAAAATATTGAATGGCAAGAAAAAGCCAGTTGCACCTAGGAAAAGTGAGGGGTAGCTTATGAAACAAGTGTGGAAGAATGACTGGGCTGAACATGGAAATTGGAATAAGGGGAACTATTGTATTAAAAGTGCTTAGGGAGGTTAGTCACTATACCAATCAAATGAAGCCCTATTGATCTTAGACTGAACAACTCGATTAGTAGAGTATTACACTAAGGGCAAGCTTATGGTGTATATGTGTGGCATGTGAATGTTCTTTGCTGAGAGTGAGTGAATTCGTTCTATCTATAGTTCTTTGTTATTTGATTTTATGTGTGTGGAACTTCTCTCAAAAATGTGATGTGAGGGCATGTAACTCCGGAAAAAAAAAAAAGCAAGTCTTCACCTCTGTTTAGAGTATATAGAGTAAGCACGAGTGTGGCATGGCATTAGAGTCTTCACCTGAGGTGTGGCTGTTGCACTGCTTAGGTTGTTCTTTCGTAATGGCGGGTGTGACATAAACAGGGTAATGCATCAAACGATTAGGCCTAGAAGTGTGGTTCAACTTGCTCGAGGACGAGCAAAGATTTAAGTGTGGGGTGTTGATAATAGGTAAATTAGACTATAATTAGGCCCTAAAGAACCACATTTTTGTATAGCTTTTACGGTAAAAAGTAATAACAAAATGCTCTGATTAGTGTTTTTCATGCTTTGCAGGCTATATCCAATAAAAGAAGTTTATGGAGTACTTTTGGGATCAATTACGGAGAAAAGGAGGCCAATCATACAATATCCACAAAGTGCACCAAGCGAAGGGACAAAACCAGAACTGAAGCTGGTCTGCTGCTGTCCGGGCGTAACCGCGATAGGACCGCGGTAGAACACTGCTGCAGATTCTGAAGGCCACTCTGGCCGCGGTCCTGGCGTAACCGCGGTAGGACCGCGGCAGGACGCGTAAACTTCAGGGACCAAAGTGCAAAATACGGGATTTTAAGCCCTAAACCTTATATTAAATGAAGGAAGCCGGCCAAGAAAGAGGAGAAGGATCTTTGGAAGTGAAAAAATATTAGAAGGAAGGGCAAGAGGCAAGGAGGATCATTGGGCATCAATCTTTAATCTTCTTCTTTGTTCTTTTACCTTTGAATATGAATTCTTTTGTGATTTTTTGTTATTTTCATGATTAGCTAACTTTTCTAATCTAAGGTTTTGGTGGAACCCGTTGGGGATAAATTTATTGTGATGTTAATATAGTTTTGATTGGTTGTTAATCTCTATTTGTTCAACTACATTCTTGTTGTAGTTGATTGAAGGGCCCTCAATTAGCTGTGCCTATTTATTATGTATCTACTTGAGAGAGAGTGCATATTTAGGTAGTTGTTTGAACAACATCACTCCTGGAGTATAGACGAGAGTCATAACCGAGGGTTTAGAGGTTGGATTAGAGATAACAATACCTCGGGTTCAATCTAAGTGAACTGTAATGCGAATCTAGCTAGCGTAGCTTGAGAGAGTGCGTCTAGTAAATTATCATAATTGCTTGAGAGAGATTTATGATAGCTGGAGAGTTCATGATTGATAGAGGCAACTAAGTCAACTCTATAAGAAACATACAACCAAGGAAATCAACAACGGGGGAAACCATTACCTTAGACCTATTCCAATTGTTTACAAATCAAGCATAGTTAATTTTTAGCTGTTTATTTACTTTCAGTTTTAGTTGTTAGAATTACCATCAACTGTTATTTACAACGTTTGGGGAAGTTGATTCTATAGAATTTATTAAGTCCAACAAAAGTAATTGATAGGTTAAGTCCATGTGGGTTCGACTCTGGGCATAAATACTCAGATTATATTTGCAACGCCCGCGTAGTCTTTTGCGAGACTCAGTTGAGCGTGATCAATATTGCAAGTTTATTCTTCATATTACTGGTGCGTAATATCATGAAACAATGACAAATGATACAATCTATCCAAACATTGTATTCATCAAACGATACAGTACAATACAATACGATACTATACATTATAAAATAATATGTAACAACCATCCAAACAAGCTGTAAGAGTTGGAATATCGAAGGGAATATCCATTATCTATTACAGATTAATGAATACGAATACCTGAAATTTTTAGACATGAAAATATAAGTTTGGTAAAGAGCATCAAATTCTAATATGGGAGGTAATCATCAGATTAAACTAAATTATTTTCTGTTATGTTCAAACGTAATTGCAAAAATAGTATACATGTCATCTCAATAATTAAATCACCAGCTGCTTATTGTCTCCATTAATGGATAATTTTGTGATTGTCAGCATGTGGAGGACACGTCTGTGATAATCTAATATCCATGTCAAGAAGAGTATAAAAGATTTTTCAAATATAAATAAAAGCTAATAATATCACTAATCAATTAGCCAATGCTTTCATTTTGTTGGACAGGGTCATGCAACTTTTCCAATTATTTAATATCTTGAAATGGTCTTATTATGTGATGAC